TCTGTTAGCATCTTATGTGAGGATTCATGAGAAGAACAAACGAGCCTTAAGACACTGTAGCGGGTTGAATAGCATCCTCCAGAAATTGCTATCCATCCAGAACCCCAGAATGTGTTCGATTTGGAACTGTGGGCATTGCAGATGTAATGAGTTAGGATCAGCATGAGATCACACGGGATTAAGGTGGGGTGAATCTAATGAGAGTGTCCTTTTAAAAGACAAAAAAGATACAGGGAGACACAGTGGAGGCCATGTGAGGACGAAGGCACAGATTGGAGGGGGATGCTGCCACAAACCAAGGAACTCCAAGAGCCAGGAGAAGCTGCAGGAGGCAAAGAAGGAGTCCTCTCTACAGCTTTTAGAGGAAGCGTGGGTCGCCAGAGACCTTGATTTCAGACCTCAGGCCTCCAGAGCCGTGAAGGAATACATTTCTGTTCTTTTTACATCACCAAGTTTATATCTTACTAATAGTGGGGTTTAGGCTAGTGATGAGATTGATTAATTTGGGGGCATCCCAGTGCTTGTAGCTCTCTGCTCACACCTGTTCCCCCGTCATAACCACCTGTGACTGTGGCAGAATTGATTCCTTTGTTGTACTATGCTGAGGTACTGGTAGAGGGTGATATTGAAGCATTTCTTAAATGAATGAGCTGGAGATCCCTCATCCTCCACCCGCACACAGCCCCCACCCCGTCTCAAGACATGCACCGGAGGGCAGACTTATTCTGCAAGCTTTTTCAGGAGGTGAGCAGGGTAGCAGATATCTTTCTGCCAAAACTTTAGGAACAGATGTGCAAGGAAGAGGCTGACCTGTTCCCCTTGAGAATCTATCAGGACACCTGCATAGCCCATGGATGGCTTAAAACCAACGCAACATCTCGTAAGAAACAAAAAACTCTTGGGACAGTGACTGTCAATGAATGTGTACCTGAAGTGTTAAACTCTCCGGCCAGTTGAATATTTGCAAGTTGAAGATCTGACCAAAGTGAACGCGGAAGTCCGGCCCAAGTTGCCGACTGACCGTCCTGGACACCTCCTTGTTGTTGAAGAGCACCTTCAAGTACACCGAGCGCCTCTTGACATCGTCCCTCCGCCAGATCTCTGCCCTGTCAAAGGAAACCATTTGCAGGTGGGTGAGCATGACCGCGCTAAGGATCGCTGGAATATTTTATAAATGAACACTGAATAGAACAAGGTATGATTGAGGGAGCTCTGACAGCCCCCATTTAACCAGAATAGCACAGGTGTTTCAGAGCTTCCTGTAATAAAATGTTACGACATGAAACTTAGGGAGAGAAGCCATTCAGAGGTGCTGGGATTTAAGAAACAAAGAGTCCACCATTGTTATATTACAGTATCCTCAATTTTTTCAAATACAACTTAGATTGGCATCCCAAAGCTCTAAGTAAAGATATTCCTTGTTAAGTGAAGCAAATTCAAATCATAAGGGATCGTAACAATTTATATTTGGATAAAAAGTTTTAATCTTAAAAATGTGGCAGCATATTGTAGCAGCTAGATCAAGTCTGTTTCTCCAAAACCCAGACGTTTTCTCAACATTTTCAGACAGCAAGTGCCTACACATGAGATGCGGGCAGGATATGAAAAATGTTCCCTATTGTTAAAAATAATCTGAATCACAATAAAGGTCTCCTGACACCTTGAAAAAGGTGAAGCATATCATTGGGATAGCCGGAAAGTTAAAAGTAAATCAGAACTTTCAAGAGCAGTCTTTAATTTTATTGTATCCTTTGCAGAGATGTCCACCCCCAAATGTCTAAGATTGGTTAAGTCAACAGCAATTCAGGCTTGTGGAGGAAAGGAAGAGATGAGGACATCAAAATCTAAAACAAGCTCAGGTTTTTGTTTGGGGAGTAGTTTATTTAAATTTATTTTTATTGTAGTGGTAAAATACATATGACGTTTATCATTTTTAATTATTTTTAAGTTTGTATTTCTGCGGGATGCAGTACATTCCCACTGCAACCACCACCATGATCCATCCCAGACCTTTTCATCATCCCGCCCATAACTGGGCAGTAGTTTTAACTTTTTATATCTCTGTAATTTAGACTTATCCCAGACATGAACTTGGTCAAATCACTTCAGCATTTCTTTTTCTATAAAGGACATTTAACCCTAAATTGCAAGAATTGTCTAAGACACCCACACTCTCGGACGCCACTCAATAAAGATCGCCAAATCGAAACCAGATTTGCCTTTTAAGAAATGTGCTCTGTTATCACATATTTTGGATGTTTCTGACAAAATAACGTGGCATGTTACTTGTGGCCTGAAAATAGCTAATTTAGCGCTAGAGAACAGCTTCTGTGTAGCATCTAAATATGTGAAGCTGAGAACGCATCCAAATGCACAAGAAGCTGCGATTTTAAAATGAATCATCCCAGCACTCTGGGAGACAGAGACAGGAAGATCCCTTTAGCTCAGGAGTTCCACACCAGCCTGAGCAAGAGCAAGACCATGTCTCTACTAAAAATAGAAAAACTAGCCAAGCATTGTGGCAGGTGCCTGTATTTCCAGCTATTTGGGAGGCTGAGGCAAGAGGATGGCTTGAGCCCAAGAGTGTAAAGTTACTGTGAACTAGACCGAGGGCATGACGCTCTAGCCTGGGTGACCGAGTGAGACTCTGGCTTAAAGGAAGAAATAAATAAATCATGACTACGTCAACAGAAGTTTGGAACCTAAAAGGTTGTAGTCAGTCTTACAGTGACATTGTATTAACCCCTGAATCCTGATGAACAAGCAGGCTGATTGACTAGATTTGAATTTCCATGTTTTATGTGTGGGATAGTGGAGGTTCCAGGCTACGCTACAGCGTGGGATCTGTCGGTATTGATGATTTCAATAGATTCCCTTTAGTTGATAATGATACCCTATAACACGCATCAGAATCTCCTGGAGACCTTGTGAAAACACAGTTTTCTGGCCTCTGCCCTCTCCAGAGTTTCCGACCGAGTTAGTCTCAGATAGAACCTGGGAGTTTGCATCTCTAATAACTGAGGATGGTGTCACTGCTATAGGGCTGGCCTTGGAGAACCATGGCTGGGAGGTGTAGGAAATAAATAGAAAACTTAAAACATATTTTTATTATATTTTTACTTTTCTTTTTTGAGACAAGAGTCTCACTTTGTCACCCTGGGTAGAGTGCCGTGGCGTCACAGCTCACAGCAACCTCAAACTCTTGGGCTTAAGCCATTCTCTTGCCTCAGCCTCCCAAGTAGCTGGGACTACAGGTGCCTGCCACAATGCCCAGCTATTTTTTGGTTGTAGTTGTTGTTGTTGGGCAAGTCTCGGCTGGGTTCAAACCTGCCAGCTCTGGTGTATGTGGCTGGTGCCCTAACCACTTAGCTACAGGTGCTGAGCCTTTATTATAATTTTTAAACTAGGATGAACACATAACCGTAAGTTTATAAATTTATTGTATGGATAGAATTATGGAATCAAAGTGATGCTTCTCTTAGGCGTCAAGTGCAAGTGTCCATAAATACATTTTTATCAAATCTGAGGGTATGCTTCAGGTGGCCTGACTTGGACACAAGCCTCGGGGCCTCACCCACAGGCCCCTTTGGGAGATTCCATGAGGCCTTAAAGAGAGCAGCTGAAGTCAGGAGCGAGAAGAGGCATCTGTGCCCACGCCAGGGAGGCGGGGCACTATGTCACTAATAGAGAGGAAAGGCACTTTGAGGTCACAGATAAGGAACCCAAACCAAAGGCCACACGGATGGCCACTGTGAAGAGCAGGCACTAATTTGTGGCGGGGACACTTTTCTGCAGGCAGTTTTGCAGAGCGCGTTCCTGAGCAGGCTGTGGGCTGCAGTGGGTGAGTGAGCCACCTGAAGTCACCCACAGTGGGCAGCGACAGCCACTTCGTGAGCTGCCACCTAACAGGTACTCACAGAGAGTTCTGATTCTTCTGATCGCTCTGCCGGGAGTCAGGAGACGCACACGCCACGCGCATGCACACACGGGCGTGCAGGTGTCTGCGCCGGTCGTGCGTCAGCCTCACTTGCGGTTAAAGCGTCCACTCACCTGGGGCACTGGTCGCCGGGCGTCACGCTCCCCGCCAGGCTCAGCTCTGGGACCAGCGTGGGCTCCCCGGGCCGCCTCCTGCTCTGGGCCGCTCTCTCCCTCACCTGCTGCTCCACGGCTGCGCGGTCGGGGGGCTCCGGCGGGGTGGGCTTCCCGGGGGCCTCCCCGGGATGCGGTTCCTCGGTCTCCTCCTCCGGGTGCTCTTCATCCGCTTGCCTCTTTTTCTTCTTCTTGGTCTTCTGTTGGGTAAGAGGCAACATGTGTCAAAGGGGACTGTGGGCTCTTCATTTAGGGGCAGCGTCTTCAGAGCCAGACGGACCTGCGCTGAGCTCCAGCCCCGCCTGGCCAGCCGTGCACGCCCGGCAGGTGACCAAGCCTCTTTACGGCCCTGTGCCTCAGTGTTCTCATCCACAAAATGGGAACAAGCACAAGAAACTCCTTCCAGGGCTGTGCAAATGAGGTAATGTCTACAAAGCGCTTACCTCAGTGCCTGGTCCCTGGAAAGAGCTTAAAACATGAAAGCTAATTCATGTGATCATTAACCGGTTCTCAAGGCCAAGGACATACCTTGAAATTAAAATAAGGCTTGTGAACACAAGGAGCATCACAAAGCCACCTGGCCTGTCATTTGTTTCCTTTGTGTGCTATTTTGCTGTGTCATGGGCACAAAGTTAGATAATTCGCAGAGGGAAAGTCAGAAGCGTCCATGCCCTATGTTCTGCGGGCTGGTGTGTAAAATACTCAGCACGGGCTGGACACGCACGCTGACAGGTACTATGCTGTTCCCTTGGTTTTTCACTCACATGGTCACAGAGTGTTTAGCAGAACTATCCAGGCACAGTGCTGGCTCTGGTGTTAGCCCGCTGGGTGGCCTTTTACACAAACGTGTTAATCAATCACTGTACTCATTCTTCTGTCCCAAGCCAAGGGGGAGGGAGAGAGACCAGTGGAGCCACAGGAGACCCCAGTCTGCCTGTCTGACCCACCTGGTCATCACTGTTCTCGGCCCAGCCTGCGTGTACAAACCTGGGCTTTCTTCCACGCCTTCCACTGCTGGTACGACGTCCTGTACGCCTCCATCCTCTGTTCATACGCCTCCCCCTGCTCCTCCCACAGTTCTCTTATTTCAGCTTCAATTTCTGCTTCATATGCTTCCTCATCTGCTTTCTGGTCGACTTTTTCCCTTTAAAATAATTTACGGTGCCTTGGTTAGTTCTTGAAATTGAGAGAGCAAGAACAACAGTGAATATTTGTACTGGGCTCACCCTGTGCCAGGTCCTCTTCTGAGCAGTGTGCCCGTGTTAACGCAACCTCGCGAGGCAGATGCTGTTACTACCTGCATTTTCTATGTGAGAGGCTGCAGCACAGGGAAGTTAAGTGATTTTCCTGAGAGTGCACAGCTGGTGAGTCAGGGGGCAGGGTGGCTGGCACATGAGCACACCAGCACCAAACGCCACTCTGAGCAAGCGACCCAGAGTGTGTGCTGGTGTCTGTGAGTCCTCAGCCCATGGTGGTGGCGTTTCATTACTTATTTCATTAATTCCTCAAGTCTCTGAGGGACAACCTCATGACACCCTCACCCCCCTTGTTGGCCTTTGGAGTGAGAATTTGGGATTTTCCCTGAGGATTTTGCCGGCACTCCAACAGGAGCCCAAAGCACTGCCTTCCACGGGGTGCTCTGCAGAGCTCTCGTCTGTGGATGTCCCGCCAGAACCAGGTGCTGTGGCCAGGGCGACTCTAGGTTTAACAAACATGCATGTTTCCTTGCTGGTCATCTGTTCTGAGCCTTGGTCTGTTTTTTTGTTTTTTTTTTTTGAGACAGAGCCTCAAGCTGTCCCCCTGGGTAGAGTGCTGTGGCATCACAGCTCACAGCAACCTCCAACTCCTGGGCTCAAGGGAGTCTCCTGCCTCCACCTCCCAAGTAGCTGGGACCACAGGCACCCACCACAACGCTTGGCTATATTTTTTTGGTTGCAGCCATCATTGTTGTTTGGCAGGGCTGGGTTGGATTCAAACCCGCTACCTTAGGTATATGTGGCTGGTTCCTTAGCTACTTGAGCCACAGGCGCCACTGAGCTGGGAAGGGCATCTTAAACAACATACAAAAAACACCATTCATAAAGGAAAAGACTAATATGGCTTTTTTGGGTTTTTTTGCAGTTTTTGGCTGGGGCTGGGTTTGAACCTGCCACCTCCAGCATATGGGGTCAGCGTTCTACTCCTTTGAGCCATAGGTGCCGCCCTGAGACTAATATGTCTTTTAAAAAAAATTTCTATTCATCAAAAAACAGCAGAAAGAGACAGAGTAAAAAGACAACCATGAGTGTGATAAGGGACACCACTAACAAGATCTTATGTTCAGGGAAAATGCAGACTCCTGCAAATTACCACGAAGGGATCAAAGGGCAAACAGTCCAGCTTGAAAACTGACAATTGAACAGAAACCTCAGAAAACAGGAAGCCCAAATAATCCTGTATGAAAAGGACTCCTCCACATGAGTAGTCAGAGAAGTATAAGTTAACACATCAAGTGCCATGTGAGTTGTGTGAGTTGTATTTAACTCATACTAGTTTTGAGCCTGGGGCCTCATGAAATATATATAATTCACACATCTCTTGACTTGTCTGGACCTATTGCAACACTGTAGCCCCAAGGGCAATTTTTCTTTTTTTTCTAGTGTGGGAGTCAGCGTGTTAAAACATGGCAGCTGGTTAGCAGAATGTTAACGTCTGACCCGACCAGGTGATCTGCACCGTATGGAGCTATGGGAACCCTGGAGAAAGTATCCAGCAGCATGGCCACTCTGGAAAATGTTTGCAATCAGCGTGTAAAGTGGGAGAGATACAGCCCCTGGGACTCAACAGTGCCACTTCCATATACGTTTCTGGAAAACTTGGACAGAAATGTCTATTGGAAGTGGTATTTATGAAAGTCAAAACCTGTCATCCACTCATAGGCCCACCAACAGTAAAATGGACAAATTTGGCTACATTCACGGAGAGAAGTGTAAAGCAAAGGAAACCAGTGTGCTGTCTAGTAGCGAAATCTCATAAGCAAGTATTGGAGAAACAAGTGTGTGTTCATAACAAATGCACACACCACACTTACGTAAAAGTCACATCTACGCAAAATTAAACTCTACATTCTTAGGGCAAAACCAGAAAAACAAGCAGTGACCACAGAAGCCCAGTTAGTAGCTATTTCTGGGGTGCTGGGGATGTCAAGTACAACAGTGCTCTATTTCCTAAACTGGGGAGTGGTTACGTGGTTATTCACCTGTTATTTTTTAAACTATATCCATGTATTAGACATTTTTCTCGACATATGATGTAGCCCAATAAAACAATTTTTGAAAAAGGCCTACTTTCTCAAAACCAGTTTCAGGGGCGTATTCGTGCACCTCTGGAACTCCCGGAGAGATTTCATCTCCTTCCAGACTTTAATGATGGTCTTGAGCAATGTTCTATCTCTTTCTTGCTCAGCGTCCCGCAGTTTTCTTGTTTGTCTACAAGATATAATAATATTCAAGTATACATTAAAAAGTTATTTGGGTATATTTGCAAATACAGAAATTAGTGATACTATAAGAATTGAATATTCAATTTGATAGCTAACATTATTTCTAAACAAATACTAGAAATCCAAGTGCCAGTACATTTATTGTAAACAAAACAAAGCTAACCATCTTAGCAACAAATATGTCAAAAGCTTTCTGTGTTCATACAAGTCACAAGTTCCATACTGAGGAGATGACATATTGTTATTGCTTGTCTTGCAGAGTTTTCAGTGCAAACTACTTTATGAATAATTTTGGCTTGATCTTAAGAGATATCATTTGGAAATGCATTCATCTTTTCTTGTTGTTTAAAATGCTTGGAAATTATTTAATGCCTTCATTTAAGCCCCCTTTATGAATGACAGCCAAATCCAGACCTTGAATTCATTTGCATTATTAATTAGTTCATTAATGAAAAGACAATTTAATTTTTGAACAAGCACTGTGTATCATTCTAGGGGTTTTGGAAGTGTCTGGAGAAGGAGGTGTCTCTGTCCTTAGGGAGTTCATCCTTTGGTTTCAAGGACAGGTATGTATATAAATGACACAGGGTGAGATTTGTCTATGAGAGCATCATGAGAAACAAGGGGGCAGCATTTCACAAATCAGTCCCTTCAGAAAGAAGGGCTGAGTCTGCAGGTTACGCTCCTAATGACTTAGTCTGTACAGTTATAGAAAGAAGTGTCCAGAGCTCAGGCTCACAGGGTCCATCCCACTCAGCTGGGTGGAGGCTCCAGGGGTCGGGGTGAGATCCGCTTCAGAGGAAAGGGGCACAGACATGAGGTGGGGTGGGTTGGAGACAGAGGGAGTGGAGGCAGTTTGAATAGAAAGATTCCCAGAGGTTTGGTTGTGAGGGGAAATGGGTATAAAGTGATAGCTGGATGGGCATCTGGGGTCACAGAATTTTTATTTGCTCAAGATTGAACATTTATGAGGGTGAAGACCCCAAGAGAGGGTTAAAGTGTTTCCCTAAATTTTGCATGAACATCATGTTTCTGTCCTTATAGGTCCCGATTCCAGGTCAGAGGACAAACACTGTGGCCAGGGTGCCGGGATGGGAAATAAAGTGGGATGTGCGGAGCGGTGCTGGCCCAGGCTAAGGGAGCAGGGGGGCCTCAGCAGGTGCCGGGATGGGAAATAAAGTGGGATGTGCGGAGTGG